TGATGATGATAATGATCACGATGATGATGGCATCAGTATTTTTAGTTTTGTTATTACTACGATGATGATAATCATAACGATGATGATGATCATGATGATGATGGTACTTTTATTATGATGATGATGTTCATGATGATGGTGTGATGATGGTGATTCTATATCCCTATGAACATACACGGGAGGGGGTCCTGCAAGCCATGTTATAGACATAAAATGGTTTTCACTATAAAATGACTAGACACTGCTTATAAAATGAGTGGCCCCAACCAAATGAAAACACTATATTTTGAGGGGGCCTGACCCCAGAACACCTGGAAATTACTTTTAAAATCTCTATAAAATGACTGGCTACCTTTACAAATGGTCAAGGCGCAAGTCAACAGATTTCAGCACCTCACTTAGAATCAAACCATGTTGCCATTCCTTCATTTTGATTTTGCCATTCCTTCATTTTGTTTCCAATGCCGCCCAGTGCCAACCCTGGCCTTTCAATGGGCAATTTTGGAATAGTGTGGGCTACTTGTCCTTAAACCTTCAACCCACCATGAAAATAGGTGATTGAGCCAGCATCTGCCATCCTTTTGTATTCCTGGATTTTGCTTCCAATGCCTCCAAATGCAAGCCCTGGCCTCTCAATGGGTTATTTTGGAACAGCGTGGGCTACTTGTATGATTTCCAAGTGCTGCCACTATAAAATGGCTGGCCTCAACCTTTCAACCCACTATGAAATTGGTGATTGAGCCAGCATCTGCCATCCTTTTGCATTCCTTGATGCCAGCCCTGGCGTTTCAATGGGCCATTTTGGAATAGTGTGTGGCTACTTGTATGATTTCCAAGTGCTGCCACTATAAAATGGCTGGCCTGAACCTTTCAACCCACCATGAAATTGGTGATTGAGCCAGCACCTCCCACCCTTTTGGGTTGAAATTGCCTGGAAAGCTGGGTATTCAACCCCATCACCAATTTCAAATTGGGTTGGTGGGTTGAAGCTAGCCATTTGATAGTTGCTAGATTTGGGAATTTGCGCAAGTAGCCCACAAGATAGCACAATGTGGGCTACTGTGTTTTAATGTGGGCTACTTGCACAATTTCCCAAATCTAGCCACTATCAAATGGCTAGCTTCAACCCACCAACCCAATTTCAAATTGGTGATTGGGTTGGATACCCAGCTTCCCCGGCAATTTCAACCCCAAAGAATGGCAGGTGCTGGCCCAACCGCCAATTTCATGGTGGGTTGAAAGGTTCAGGCCAGCCATTTTATAGTGGCAGCACTGGGAATCATACAAGTAGCCACACACTATTCCAAAATGGCCCATTGAAACGCCAGGCTGGCATCAAGGAATGCAAAAGGATGGCAAATGCTGGCTCAATCACCAATTTTATGGTGGGTTGAAAGGTTCAGGCCAGCCATTTTATAGTGGCAGCACTTGGAAATCATACAAGTAGCCACACACTATTCCAAAATTGCCCATTGAAACGCCAGGGCTGGCATCAAGGAATGCAAAAGGATGGCAAATGCTGGCTCAATCACCAATTTTATGGTGGGTTGAAAGGTTCAGGCCAGCCATTTCATAGTGGCAGCACTTGGAAATCATACAAGTAGCCACACACTATTCCAAAATGGCCCATTGAAACGCCAGGGCTGGCATCAAGGAATGCAAAAGGATGGCAGATGCTGGCTCTATCACCAATTTCATAGTGGGTTGAAAGGTTGAAGCCAGCCTTTTGTGTGGTGGCAGTTGGGCGGCATTGGAACCAAAATGAAGGAATGCAAAGAAATGGTTTGCCCATCTTCCCTGAGCATGTCTTCACATGGCACAGGGCCGGGCTCCTTTTCAGAGGTTGTGCCCCCACCCGAGGCATCTTTGATCAAATGATCAATGGCTGTGGATAAGAACAACCTGGATCATGGCTGCACTGCAAAAACCTGAACAAATCTGGACAAATTTCAGCTACAACCCTGAAATCACTATAAAGTGGGGTGAGTGACCCCCTGAAGGAGCGCCGCTGGAGGTGCATAAAACAAAATATAGCATACCTTGACCCCTGTCATTTTATAGAGGATATGTTCATGGGTATGATTCTATGATGATGATTATTATTATTATTATGATGACGATGGTGATGATTATAATAATAATGGTGTGATGATGGTGATTGTATGATGATGATGATGATGATGATGGTGATGGTGATGGTGATGGTGATGGAAATTGATGGCGATTGATGGCGATTAATGGTGATTCATGGTGATTCATGGTGATTCATGATGATTCATGAGGATTTCTATGATGAATTCTACCATGTATGATGACAAACTCCATTAACTCCATCCATGTTAAGCTCATACTAATCAGCAGCCATAATTAATCAACACACACACACATTCAAAAAACAATGGCAATACTACTTTGGGTTAGCCCCCCACTTTTAGTAAACATGTGCGACCCCCCCTATTGAACAACACCCGGCTCAAAAATCCTAATTGTGTAGTAGTCAGGATATGTATATATATATATGTATATAATTAATGTTATTGTTTTATAATGGTTTTAATTGTTTGTTCATTGTTGAAAAAGTAATGTCTTGAAGGGAGGTCCCATGCCCAATCTCACAATCTCACCCCATTGGGAGGGAGGTTGCCACTGAAAAGGGAAATCTCGACCCATTGGCAGGCAGGTTGGTTGATTTTCATGTATGACAAGCCCTAATTAGTTTTTTAATCGGGTGGGTACTCTGACCTTCTAGGGGGTGTTAGTACAAACTTGGCGCTAGGATATATTGCAGCCCCTGAGCAAAAGAGTTCCACCGGACTTCTTGGCTAAATGGAACGGTCCTTTCCAGTTGAGACAACTGGTCTGATGGTCTGATGGCTTGTCGCCAGGGCCCGATTCAAGATGTGTTTTTATTGCGCCAGCTTACTTGCCAAGTAGGAGTCAGGGAAACAAATATGACTACTGGTTGGTGGTTTCAACCCCTCTGGAAAATATTATTTAGTCAGTTGGGATTATTATTCCCAATATATAGAAAAATAAAAAATGTTCCAAACCACCAAGCAGACTAGAACATCATCGAACATAATTTCTCCGATCAAGCATCGGTTGTCCTGAAGCGACTAGATCATGCTGTTTGGCTCTACTGCAAAAATGGCCATCCCCGTGGAATTGTGTAGACCCCAACAAATTCAACAGGCCCATGTCAGTTGGTGGCCTGCCATGGCTCCCGCCGTGGCGCTGTGCACACGTGGAAAAGGCTGGCGGTCGTCTGAAGGCTGGGTTAAGGCTGAAGGGTATGTATGGTGTATAGATGTGTCTCTGAACCGCAAAAGAATTGGAACATGTATATAGTACTATACGGGTATTTTCCTTTTCAATCTTTTGCGGACTTCTACTGGTTACTTTGTATAGGCAAATATGGCTGGATTGTAGTTGACTGGCCCACTTCCATGTATGTCTCTCCTCATGTTCAATAGCTGTCTGACGGAAGGTGCCGAGTGACCTAGCTTTGCTTGGCTTCTTCAAGGCCCTTGCATGGGACAGCGAAAGTTGTTGCAAAGCTTGCAGGTAGGAACAATTCACACACTGGTTGAGCTTCCAGGAACTCAATTGGAATGTGCTTTCAAGAGCTTGAAGAGCATCAAGCATCACCCACTCCATTGCACTTTATACTTGGCTGAATTCATTGTTTCTGCAAGCTGATGCAGCACATGGAAGCCAACCTGCTGCATGACTGGTTTGGTTTGGCTTTTCACGGATTTCCTTGAACCATTGTGTGAAGGCCATGTGAAATGCAAACAAGCCTGGCCGGAGGCTAAGACTTATGATCTGAATCATGCAGTCATAGAACACCACAAAAGTATTGCATCTGCATGAGCACAAACAGCATAGAATACGATATTGAACACCAATCCTTTCCCAGGAAATTTAGTTGCAATTGGTGGATGTTCATGGGCGTTCCAGTTTGCAAATTAACATGCTATTACAGTACATGCTTGATACCACTAATTTCCCGGCTAAATCTTGGAATATGATGGTATCTGATGCAAATGTAGCCCCACCTAGTTCATCCAAAACTCGAAAAGGGAGCACAATATATGTGGCATGTATATTATATATATATATATGTAATTATATATAATTTCCGCTTGGTGCAGAGTTTTCCCGCGTTCAGTCGCTGCTTTTTCCCTGTCATTCCATCTGCATGGGACCACGACAGACACATATCTCGACCAAGAACATGCCCTCCGGCAACACGACAGTTGAAACTTGGGTTCTGACACTTTGACACAAAGAATTGCAATGGGACCTCTGATGTGAATTGTGGGGTTGGAGTGTTGTGTCAATTGCGACGATTCCACACAGAGAAAAGTGGAGAAGCTACTCCAGTAATTGGAACAAAAGGGCTCCTGAACCGCTTGCAGTACAATATTATATCTATATCAATCTAATAGCCAAATGGTGTGCCTGAAAATGAGGATACCTCAAAATTGCCATGCTACTGATGCTACTGGGAAAAAGTGACCATTTTAACTTTTAACATATTTAATTCACCATGTTTTTTGGGGGCACCCTTTTGGCAAACAAAGCCACATGCCAAATATGGGCCTGGTCTTTCGAGATCGCGACACATTTGTTGCCCCTTCGTCCGAGGCATTTGTTATTCGTTATTGTCATCGTGGATCATCGTCCCAAATCGGGGAAAATACCACCAGCCATCATAACGTAGATCATGATATATCATGATCCTGAACCACTACCATTGATTCCCACTTATTTGCCTATTGCTGGAACATCCATGAGTGAGATATCACGTATTTATGTGCTTCACGTATTAATGCGCATCCCCAGTGTCTACTTTGGTAGCTGCAAACATATTATAACTTAACCCACAAATAGAAGATCATCCCAGTTATAACGCGTTCACTCGCCGCGTTTTACGCTTGGATGCACCTCGAAACACCATGAAACACCCCTCCGAAAAGTCGGGTGACAATCCTTTTTTTCACCGCTCAGTACGTCGCTGCATTGTCCAGAGCCTTAGTGTGACCGTGAAATGAACTATCCAGCACAAATAAATATGATATATATATATATATACGTATATGATACATTGTGTCTCAACCCGGTGGATTTATCATTTAGTTATATGTAGTTATGCAATGTATCACATATATGGCGAAAACGAATCGAAAACATGTTCAGTTATATGGAGAGTCTAGTTTGAGTCCCATCCTTAATTAAACTGTGTGCCCTTGCCAAAAACACGAACTCTACACCACAGAACATGAAAATCACCCCCTATTCGCTCTTGAAGCAAACCCCATCTCCCTCAGCAATTGTCTTATCCAAATGAATCCCAAATGGGCAGATGATGGTAGATGTTTATTGTTGTTTATGAATGGGGGGACGGGATTCACAAACACACATATTTCGGATTGTTCTCTTCAATCTCGCGCAGAATCATTGGGATGGGAAAAGAATCGAAGCCGATCTCACCAAGCAGATAGGTAGTTTCTGAATTTCTATGATCACTGTTAGCCGTGCGGCACCTTAGTATCTGCAAGTTTAGGTTGTATCTACTAGAGGCAAATTGAGAGAAGCAATCCAAATCAATCCAAGGACTATGAATTACGACTTGCATATCAAAAGAAATTCAGTACCCAAAACGAATAGTAATACTAAGACAGGTAACCAGGGATCCGAGGAGCTATTTGCATATAAAAATGTATAAAGATGTATAAAGTAAGTTCAGGTAAACCACACAGTAAAGTATCCCGAACTGTTGACTAATTGTTGGGTTTACATGGGTTTACCACACATTCGGGGAACATCGATTCCTTAGACCCTCGAGTGACAACCTTGGACCATTGTTATCCATGTCCGGGCTACTGCTCCGCATAGGGTTTCAGCCAAGCTGTAGCCCTCTTGAGGCATTTCCTGGACACCCGATGGGTCAATGGATTGGTTTCGGGCTTTGTCTCGGGCTTTAGCCGGGGGATTAGCCTGGGGAAATCACCAGAGACCATGCGTTTTTTCCTGTCAAATCCTTGGGAGTTTTCCCAACATTTCCCTGGCACTACTCCTGGCGCCATACTCCACCAGCCAGTTGGGCATCAGATCAGAGGCGTGAGCAAAGACCTGTCTCTTAGGAAGATCTTGGAAGTAGCGAAATGGCTACAGTATGGATCAAAGCTTCAGACACGTTTGAAACACATTGAGTTCAAACACATTTTCTGATTTTTTTTAATCATTGGCCCATTGGCGATATTGGCATTGGCGTTGTTGAAGCACTATATATTGATCGATTTTAATACAGCTGGATACCCAGTTGCTTCTTGAGCCGTACCCAAAGTTGCCGGTGGAAACTTCAAGTGTTTTGGACGGGACCTGAAATCTGCCCCGGGGACGCATAGTGTTTCTGCACATGTTGTTGCAGCCAAACTTGAATGGTAGACTGGTGGACTTTCAAATGTCTGATTTTGTGGGACCGGTATGGAATTTCAAACTAGATACAATAATATGAACATTTTCAATTGTACGGGTAGCTACTTGGATCATCATTTGTCTCGATAATCTACAGCTACTATGTATGAACCTAAACCTGTAACGTGGGCTGCGCGTGAAAGGAACCTTTCTTCCAATTTAGTGCACCCCATGTCGGTGTATGTGTATATATATATACTATATAATATGTATATTTATACACCTTGTTTGTGTTTTCTGCTAAGTGGCCTTTAGAAAGAGGTCAGGTAAGGAAAACGTAGAAAGAGGTCACTTAAGGAAACGAACCAAACAGTTGCCTACCAGTGACACGCAAGTGACACGCAGGTGACACGCAGACAGCCAATCCTTAAGTGACCTTTTCAAGGCTTAAGTGACCTATTCAGGGTCCTAAGTGACCTCTTTCATCCCACCTCGAAACCCCAGTGACACGCAAGTGACACGCAGTGACACGCAAGTGACACGCAAGTGACACGCAGTGACACGCAGAAATCATGAGATCAGCCAGGCAAAGAGGTCACTTAAGGATTCATGAAACGAGGTCACTTATGCATGATTGATCTTGTAAGTGACCGATTGGCACTTTGGGTCTAAGTGGCTTCCATTAGAGGGCAGAAGTAACTGCCTGGTATATATACACTGAATTGTCTAGATTTGCACTAATTACCCCAAAACAAACAGAAAAACACTCGATCACTATTGAGTAGGATTTTAAGATTGCTTGTTCAACACATCTGAGGTGCTCCAGGGCACAAACCCTAAGTTTCAGCCACGCAGCACGGAAAACCACACGGCTTTCCACGGGATTTCCACGGTTAGAACGAACTTGCCAAAAGCCAGAGGCCTTCCAGCCACAGTTGGTTTGGAAATGTGACAAAACTGAGATGAGCAATTGGGGATGGGCAAAAACCTTACCACTTTGACCGGAGTGAACATCCATGTGCCCGCCAGTTTGGCGTTCACCGGGGTACCAAGGCTTTGATTCAAGATAGATTTGGCCCCAAAATACAGTGGGCGGCCCAAGGTGCGCGGGTATGATGCGCCTAGGTGTGCCTACCCATGCTCTCCTGGCGGAACTCCGCTTCAAAACATGTTTTGTAAATTCGCTGTGTATGTTTTGAAAAAAATCAAATGACGTATATTGGAATCCGTTTCGCGGAGACCTTTCTGTGATAGATAGATAGATAGATAGATAGATAGATAGAGAGATAGATAGATAGATAGATAGATAGATCAGTCAGATAGATAGATAGATAGATAGATTGATAGATAGATAGATAGATGGATGGATGGATGGATAGATAGATAGGTAGATAGATAGATAGATAGATCAGTCAGATAGATAGATAGATAGATGGATGGATGGATGGATGGATGGATGGATAGATAGATAGATAAATAGGTAGATCAGATAGATCAGATAGATAGATAGATAGATAGATAGATAGATAGATAGATAGATAGATAGATAGATCAGTCAGATAGATAGATAGATTGATAGATTGATAGATAAATAGATGGATGGATGGATGGATGGATGGATGGATATATATATACATATATTTAGAAAGATAGGTAGATAGATAGATAGATAGGCAAATAGACAGATAGACAGATAGACAGACAAACAGACAGACAAACAAACAGATAGACAGATAGGAAGATAGACAGATAGGCAGATAGACCGATAGACAGATAGGCAGATAGGCAAATAGACAAATAGACAGATAGACAGATAGACAGCCAAACAGCTAGCTAGATAGGTAAATAGATACAGAGATAGAGAGATAGACAGATAAAGAGATAGAGAGAAAGAGAGATACAGAGATAGACAGATAGATAGATGGATAGATGGATAAATGGATAGATAGGTAGATAGATAGATAGATAGATAGACAGACAGATAGATAGGTAGATACAAAGGTAGGTAGGTAGGTAGATAGATAGATCGATAGGTAGATAGATAGGTAGATGGATAGACGGAAAGATGGATAGATGGATAGATGGATAGATAGATCAGATAGATCAGATACATCAGAAAAATCAGACAGATCAGATAGATCAGATAGATCAGATAGATCAGATAGATCAGATAGATCAGATAGATCAGATAGATCAGATAGATCAGATAAATCAGATAGATCAGATAGATCAGATAGATCAGATAGATCAGATAGATCAGATAGATCAGATAGATCAGATAGATCAGATAGATCAGATAGATCAGATAGATCAGAATAGATCAGATAGATCAGATAGATCAGATAGATCAGATAGATCAGATAGATCAGATAGATCAGATAGATCAGATAGATCAGATAGATCAGATAGATCAGATAGATCAGATAGATCAGGATAGATAGATCAGATAGATCAGATCAGATAGATCAGATAGATCAGATAGATCATAGATCACATAGATCAGATAGATCAGATAGATCAGATAGATCAGATAGATCAGATAGATCAGATAGATCAGATAGATCAGATAGATCAGATAGATCAGATAGAACAGATAGATCAGATAGATCAGATAGATCAGATAGATCAGATAGATCAGATAGATCAGATAGATCAGATAGATCAGATAGATCAGATAGATCAGATAGATCAGATAGATCAGATAGATCAGATAGAACAGATAGATCTGATAGATCAGATAGATCAGATAGATCAGATAGATAGATAGATAGAAAGATAGATAGATAGATAGATAAATAGATAGATAGGTAGATGGATAGATAGATGGATAGATAAAGATAGATAGATAGATAGATCAGATAGATAGATAGATAGATAGATAGATACATGTCTGAGTACATATAAATGTATTATGTGATGTCCAAACACGAACTCGTTTTAACGCAAATCCCGATGGCAATCTGGATTCACAGGTATTTCTACAATAAACCCGCTCGATATTGCTTGATGGTCCAGATTGTAGCTGATCTCATTTGAAATCCGACTGAGTTGCGATAGGTGTGTGCTGGTATAATCTGATATCTGATAACTGACACGAAACTAACGCAAATCCCAATTGAACTGTATAAACGGCTGTAGCAATTCGATCGTGGACTTTAATCTTCATGTTCAATGAACCTGAAAACATCTGGAAACCATACAAATCGAGAGTTCCGTTGAGCGATGGCGGAATATCACAGCATTTACATGTGAGCACAAATCCCAAATCCCATAACACTATTTGTGGAACCAAGAAGCCCGTCGATTACACGGATCAACGGCCCGGCCCTATGATTCCACGCCAAAAGGTACAAAACCCTTCACTCCGAATCGCAAAACAACCACCCGCAAATCTGCATGTCGCTCCGATGAGCGGAGCCTACATTTTTCTCACACAGAACTTTCATCATCATGATCATGATCATGACCATGATCATCATCCGTCATGCATCATGCACCATGGATCGTGCATCATCCTCATCCTCATCACCATCACCAACCTCCTCCTCCTTCTCCTCCTCATCATCATCATGATCATCATGATCATCATCATCATCATCATCAACATCATCATCATCATCACCATCATCATCATCATCAGTCATCCTCATCCTCATCCTCATTCATTATTCGCCAGCAGCAGCAAACAGCATAGTAACATATAGCAACATATAGTGATGAATAGTGCGTGTACATAGACAATTTTAAATAATATATACAGTACAGTAAATATGATACGTTAATGATGACCTTTTATAAACAATAATTACCAACTGATTCTTGAGGACAGAAATAGCGGGGATCATCATCTCATGAACAAGTCAAAGAGAGAAGGAGCACCATCCAAAGTTGGGATTTCCTCCAACCTTGGAGCCGCTTAGAGCACCATCCAGTCGACCGTCCCGTGGAGCACCCGGCTCGCCTCCCGTAAGACCAGCCCTGTGGCTGCAGGATCGATGTCAAAGGTCACGCGGCCCTGCGTCGGTTCCACCTGATGGACCTGGGAAGTTCAAGGGAAATAGGGATTTCAATGGGATTCTAATATATTTTGATGGGATTTTAATTTATGTTAATGGGATTTTAATCTAGTTTAGTGGGATGTTAATTGGTTTTAACGGATTTCAATGGGATTTTAATGGATTCAGCGCATTTTTTCAATGAAATTTAATGGGCCTTCATGATTTTAATGGACTTTAATGGTGATTTGATGGAGTTTTCATTTGATTGAATGAACTGAATGGGATCAAATGGGGCTAAATGGGGTTCAATGGGATTTAGTGTTTAGCTGTGTCTAATAATGTCTAAGGGGAACTTATGGGATTTGACTAACGAGAAAGGGGATGTTATAACTATCAACCAACAAATCTGGAGTTTTAATCAACAGATTGGGTTTCGTTTTTTTGCCAGAAACTATGGTTTTTACCATTGTTTTCGTTTGGGGTTCCTACACATGTTTCCACCATGTCGGAGCCCAAGTGTTTGAAATCAGGTTGGACAATTAGTTGAATACATGGCACAACTTTTAAACAGAAATTTATAGGACGCCAGTTTCATGATTTTACCCTTCAAACTACTCCAAGTAAATAGGATATGTTTTTCCTTCGTAGTAGGACTGCTCCCGAAGTGATGCCAAAATGAGCCGAACCGGAACCAAAAATAGGTTCCATTGGTATAATTATGTGATCATGTTCTCAACGATAGGAACGGAAGGAACATGAAAGATTCTTAAAGCACACGTCTGCTGCCACAAACCAGAGATATGTCGGAATACATGCAATTGACTTGAGGTTTCATCGTTTCCAACCGGCATTGTAAAGTCTTTAGAATCTCGCCATCAACCACATCACTACAGTAGTCTACAATACAACAACTCGGAGGATCATCCCACTTAGAAAGCGGCTATATAATAACCCTGGTTAGCAAGTCCCGATTCAGTGGATGATCCCATTTGTAAATGGGTGAGCTAATCCCAGTTACTGACCGAACAACATACCATCAGAAATGTCATTCCCAGGTCCCATTTGCTAAGCGCCCGGCGGTGGGAACTTCCAGCCAAAGTTTCCTGCAAGAAAAAACAACAATTTATTCTGATGAAAATATCTACCTGTCTATCTATTTGATCTATAGTGTCTACCTACATATTATGTATATGCATATGTACTACATATGCGTGTGTATGTACATGTAATTTCGCAAATAAATTTATCACATGTGCGTGTCTACCGAAACGACTATCTGTAGACAGCATAGCTTGGAGTCTCTGTAACCTATTCCAATTATCCACACATGTATACGACAAATGTATGCTGGTAAAACTATAGCGTTTAGATGAGCTACGGAGCAAGCAACCCTGTAGAACTTGTTCTTTATCCACTTACTAACGAGGCAGCTACTGAGTGTCCCTCCATGGCTCACCGAAGTAAGTTCCACCCTTCTCCGTGATTCCGGCCCGCCACCAGTCAGGATAATGTTGGGATTTTCCCCTTGCTAGTCATCACATGTAATCTACACATTTTCCAACAAATATATATATATAATATATATTATATATATACATGTTTCTTAGTATATTATATATATATATGTGTGTGTGTGTCTCTGGATGTGTGTTTTTAGATATACAATGATACAGGTCCCCAGTCATATCCCCTCAATAGTAATCAGTCATATCAGGTCGTATCATTCATTATACATCCGAATTCAATTATTCTCATATTCCCTTAATATTGGCATAGTTATAGATATACATATGCCTTTATATACACACTTCAAAATCCTCCCAAATCATCTTGAGCAATCTTGTATATATATACATAAATATTTAGATATATATATATATATACATATTTCATTTATATTCATACATATGTATGTATATATATATATATATTTGTTTTTCATATTTCATATATCTATTCATGTATACATATTTCATATAAATAATATATATATATATATATAATTCACATGTATTCATATTTCATACATATATATATATATACACATACATATATATATATACATATATACACACATATATATATATATATATATTCAAATATATTCATATATATTCATATTTCAAATGTGTATATATATATATATCTACACACTTCAATATCCTCCCAAATCATCTTGAACAATCTTGTATATATATATTTACATAAATATTTAGTTATATATATATATACATATTTCATATATATTAATATATATATATATATATTCATTTTTTCATATTTCATATATACTCATGTATACATATATCCATATAAATATAATATATATATGTAATTATATTTATATATATAATTATATTCATATATATATAAATAATTATATTCATATATATATAATTATATTCATATATATATATATATTCATATTTCATATATGAATATTTCATATATATATATATATATTCATATTTCGTATACGTATATATATATATATGAATATCCGTATTATGCATATATCCATGACATCTCCCCAGCAAATTTCCGTTCCAAGGCACGTGATGCGGTAGCTGCAGCGCACGGCGCTTCCAGCGGCTCGGTGGACTTCGGCGGCGCGGATGGCGGAGATCATCGAAGGGTAGCGCCTTTCGAAACGCACAAGGCGTGGGCTGCGTTGGAGCTGGAAATGCAAACATTGGATGGTGAAATGATGGTGAAATGATGGTGAAATGATGGTGAAATGATGATAAATTATATTAAATGAGTTTGATGTTTTTTTTGTTGATTGCGGTTGATGTGTCCATATGTTTCCTATGTTTCACATTTAAGAATATGATGTTTGATACTTTTCCGGCTGCCGGGCTTACACCTTGATATCCTTCATGCTAAATATTGACATGGAACTCAAATCACACCTGTTTCCATCAGGAACAACATGTTGTATTCCAACATATTGGGCTTTGTTTTACCACAGTGTCAGGTCCAAAGTCGTTCTTCGACATGAAACAAAGCCTCCTGAACTACGTCTTGTTCCATTCTCCATCTGAGGTGCTGGCTGGAAGTCCTGCAAGCACGCAAAAACCTCTGCCAGCAACTGAGAAGTCACTGAGAAATCTTTAATTAGTATGGACCAATATGGATTAATATATTTATTAATACACTGATTCATGTTGATTAGATTTGATTAGTCCAGTGATTTCTTTGAAGAAGCTGCTCTCATGCGAAAGTACCAGCACACTTTGCCATGGACAACCGGTTGCCCCCGGCAAGAGTTCCCCTCTCATATTTTCGTCCTCCGGAAACCAAATATATACCACCATAGATATCATATAAATGAGTTTTCCATTTAAATGCCCGTTTATGAGCAAGTCCCAGGCTAGACATGTTTGATGACCGGAAGGTATATAACCTACTTACTAGCTTTAAATTCCATTAAGTCACATATACATCCAATATACTGTACTCTATACAATCTTAAATAATCATCATAAGTTATCATATATGCTCCATATTTTCCCACCATAGAGTTGTTGACCACCAATTTCAATTACTACCCCGAGTTCCGCCGAGAAGCCACTTGCTCAGGCGCTCGGACGTTGATGCGGACCAAGCCCCAGCCTGATGAAAAAGATATATGATATAGCAAAATTATTAAATACATGCTGTGGATGGAAGAAATCCTGCAGTAGTTGGTAGACGGTTTATCCCATTGTGATCCTATTGTTGACAGAGCTTCGTAGTTGCCAATAATTACCAATGCTATCCAATGCTTACATACTATAATGTAGATACCGAACAGATCCTTTGAACATTTAATCATAAACACGGAATGTATAACATATATATATATACGTGCATATGATAATATATCATAATATACAATATAGATAGTTGTGGGTTGTATTTAAAGTTTAAAGTTATATATATATACAGATATACTGTATATTTAATATGATAATACTCAATGTGACTCCCTTTTGAAGTTTTAATGTTTAAGCCCCTGGAGAACGTCAATTAGATAAAATCATATCAAAGGGTCACCTAGCCATTTATCAAAGGGTCATTTAGACTATCTCACAGGTTACTTAGCCATCCTTAGGATCCGTCAGGTCTGATTTCCAGGCTTTGAATTTGCTTGGGATGAAATTTTAGCATGTTGACCCAAACCCTGCACTGAGGCCTAAATGACCTTTTTCTGACACGCTTTGACACGCATTGACACGCACCACCGCAAAATACACCAAAATGCAAAGTGACCTCTTTCTACATGCTAAGTGACCTTTTTGTATATGCTAAGTGACCTCTTTCTCGATACTCCCCACCCTTCAACGACACGCTCGTGACACTCTTTGACACGCATTAAAAAGAGGCAATCGCAATCTAAGCCCCAAAGGTAACAGGTGAGGAAAGTAGCACGGAACCTATATCCAAGCCCCATTGGGGGAACCCAAACCCACAAAAAGGTCACGTAGCAAAGAAGAAAAGAGGTCACTTCGCAAACCAGCATGTCATAAGTGGCAGCTTTTTCTTTTTGGTCAAAGTGACCTCTAAAAGAAGTCACAAAGAAGGTCCTGGCATATGAAAATATGCAATGCAAATTGTATTTCCAACTATATGATATAGTTTTAAATAATCTAATAGTACGATGTATATACGTATATATACTGTAGATATATATGTATACATCAAAGTGTACCCAAGTTGCGGGCGGCCAGGTATCCCCTATGCAGGGTTTCACTGCAAGTTCTTGACTGGAACCCCTTGGTGCTTTCCGTTTTTTTGCGGAGGAAGAGGTGGATTGGACAATGACTGTCTGTGACAGTCCATAATAATTCCTCTTTCGTCCTAAAAATGGATGGCATCATGTTCTATCACAGAGAATCAAGGATCAAAGAAAGCTAGCATAAAAACCCTGAACGTATGCTGTACCGACTGAAGCATGATGAAATGGACACCTTCAAGGCAACAGAATCCCAAGATTTGTTTTTTAATGTTTTTGATGCCGGTCATGTCACCCTGGCAGCCAAAAAAACAGTTGGAACGTTTGCACAATGTTGTAGGCCTGAACAGGCGCCTGAATATGATTCAATTATATATATATGTGTGTGTGTATATGTAACCTGCAGGGATGATCCGTTCCTCAGTTGCAGCCACCATTCCGAGCAACGACTGGCCTTTCTTGCCTGCACGCCTCAGCTGGGGGCCTGCTGACCTACCTGCAAAAGTGCTTGGTGGGTGGTGGTTTCAACCCATAACATTGGAGTAAAAAATGCGAAACTCATTTGGGATCATCATCATTTGAACATATTTGAAATAAGGATCGGAATGTAATATCATCTAATACAAATGTGTATAAGTTTCTAAGATAGCTAGGGCGAAACACAGATATGAAATGAGATTTAAGTCACTTTAAATCAGTATCAGTGTAATGTAATGGTAGCACTCTCTTTAAAAACACATTTCTTCGAGTGACCCCCACCAACTGACATTCTTTCTGACATGCTTTCTCACATGCTATCTGACATATGTTCTTAAGTTCTATCTGGCAACCTTTCTGGCATCTCTCCTGACATTTTATGTTCGGGTCCAGTCGTGGCCCACAGTCACGACGAGCTGGCAGAGGAGAAAACGAAGAGGAGATAAAGAAGGAGGAGAAGAGGAAGGAGGAGGAGAAGGAGGAAGAGTTGCACCTTTGTTCAAATCTGGAGACCCTCACCTGGCAAGTGGAGAACACACAACTGTCAGTAAGTAACCATGGCCCCCCCGATTTTGGGTGATAGTAAAGTCAAGTACATTGTTTTACCCCCAATAATGACGCGCCCCACCTCAATTGGTAAAGGCATCTCCCCAGTGTTACTGTATTCCCTTTTATGTACTTTACATCGGGGCTACAATTGTTAGGGTTGCTTACTGACCCTTCCCTCTGCCATCTCTTCAGGAATTTCATACTCACTCACCCTGCTCGTGCTGCTCTGCCAGATTTGTGCTGCACATCTCATGTTTGACACCTCAATGATGCTTATATGATCTTATGTGCTCCAATATGCACCATATGCACCTCAGCAACATTGATTCCCATCAAGGGTCGACGGTCGACGGTTTTATTAATTCGATGGTTTTAATACCTCACCAAAAAAAGATCGTTGACCATGTTGACATATAGGGGGGCACCACCCGTTTTCATCCTGGGTAGTCATTTTACTGTGTACACCCCATTGTGTCACACACACACAGCCAGTGAGATCGCTCCACAACACTCAGCCAAGCATCGCTTGCTTTTGCACGCGTCCTTCCTCGCGCAGTTTCTCAAGCTCATCCGAGGTCAAATCCCAGAGCTGCCGTGGGAAATTGGAAGCTTCCAACCAAGCATCGCCCCTGAGCATAGGAGGTCAAGTTTGATAAGACCGGGATTTCAATCAGTGGGCCACACCCTTCTTATCTCCATCTGTTGATTCTCGTCGATCATTTTTTTTATCCAGATTTGAGCAAGTTGGGCATACTAATACAAAAGTTCTGAAATATAGCGGCGCTGTCCAATTACATTCCGACCGATGTAACACGCACAAGCTTGGTGATATTTTGCAGATTTCCACCTACCCGAATTCGGAGACCCAGCCAAGCATGATCGATACCCATTATGAACCTATTATGAGCCTATTCTGAGCCTATTATTAGCCTGTTGTGGCAAAAGAAACTGAACACCTTCGGGCCACAGAAGATGATTCTGCCGTTTTCAAATTGTTATTGATGTTTCCAAACTCCAGCACTGCAGTCGTCAAGTGGAATCATGTCAGCTGAGGGGTCCAAAGCAAACAAATTGTAAACAATAACAATTTCGCCTATGATATATCCAAATGTGATGGTGATATGCCAATTTGGGGTTGTTTGCAGTATCTAGTTTGCTCACAAAACTCCCTTTTCCTGGCGATCCCAGATTGATCCAGACTTCATGGCTATTCATGGCTTAACCTTGATAATTACCCTGCGAAAAGACGCTAACTATGGACATCTATGGACTGTATCTCCATGATTCTCCATGTCCCTTTGCCCCATCCTCAGCTCCGCAGCAGACGCCAGACGCCCGGCACGCCCGGCACGCCCGGCACGCCCGGCACGCCCGGCACGGCCGGCACGGCCACAGTGTGCCCGGCTCGGCCGCAGCAGGCTGGTGGCCTCGATGGACAATTTCAGAGCAAAAATTGTTGGAAAAGTCCATATTCTATCTACTCGATTCGAAAAGTTTTTTTGATTATAATAATATATATATATATATACATACATACATACATACATACATATACATAACACACACATATATATATATATATATATGTATTAATTACAGTATATCAACATAAACAATCACATACATATATATATATATATGTGTGTGTGTGTGTGCATGTGTGCGTGATGCCCCAAAAGGATACATTTCAGTCAAATGCTTCCAAACAGTAACTTACTGTTCTATCTTCTTGGATGCCAGTATAAGTATACTTGGGTCAGGATATAAATGCGGTAAACCAACTTATAACTAACTAGGGGTGGAACCACCCAAGAATATGCTGGGGTAGATACCACAACTGGGTTATGATATTGTTTCAACATGTTTGAAAAAGTATGTAATTGTGACTAGAGATGACTGGGGTGATCATTGCAGAATAGCCCTTGAGGTCCAATAAGGGTTGATATGGTTTCTATGGGTAGCCATGCCTACCTAAAAGACCCCAGTTAGTTTTTTTTGTTTTCATGGTATCTAGGGAAACGCTAGATATTCATAGATATGCTAGATCATCACTGTAGATTTCTGCTAGATTAAATGTGCACCTATAATTACTGTATCTGTTATGTGATAAGGTTCACGGTCACCAAACTGCAAAATACGATACACGTGGATATCGAAATCCATCATATGTGGGTCATCGTTGATGTCTGTATTTTTTTCAATCACATATGTGTTTTTGTAATATTCATTGAAAGTAAAGCAATGGTACACTATCCATAATCAACTACCAAAAACAATAAATCACCAATATTTTAAATAGTGGTGGCCTATTGTTTTTGGTCGTTGATATTTTGATGGCTCAGCCATTTATAGAGGACACTATTGGGATAATTGGGATGCTGGATGGTCCTTCAAGCAATTTTCCTTGGTGAAACTTCAGCTCGGCACTGCAGGTTGTCTCGGCATGTTTCGGCCATGGCACCGTGCTCACCAGAGCAATGCGGCTGGAGATCCGTGGTCGCGACCCACCTGGTGCTCTGGAACAGCATTAAGTTATTAGGCACACGGCGAGAGGATGTTTATGGTTTGCTGATTTGTGAGGAGCTTTCAGTAACCATCCCCCAACTATACAACATTATGTGTAATTATATATAATTAATGATAATTATACATATATGTGTATATACATATATATAATATATAGATCATAGACCCTGCCATGAGTTGGGGGTTGGAAGACCAGAACATCATCCAACAGGCGCTTAGGGTCGAGCACGGTCGAGCTGTGAGTTGGGGCCTCCACTCTAAGCGAAGGAGCTCAGAAAAGCATCCAAGTCACTTCGCAGAATTGTTATCTGTGCGCAGGATACCTGTTCATCCCATGATACCGTCATAATACATACTCAATGCCGGCGAAGGTCCCCCAACGTTGCAGTCAACTGTCATTCCCGCATGGAACTACGCCCCCCAACTGCTAGGAAAAGTCACCGCAACTTTTTCGCCCATTGTAAACGCAGCACGAAAATGAAAAAGTACAAAAAAAAAACTATCATCCCAAATGCGCAAATCACCATGAGAACGCAAGTCACCCCAATGGTTTCAAACTATGGAAAATTAAAAACAAAATCATTTTTCAATATCAAAACACAATGTAAACGCATGATTCATGTATGTTTGGGCAAAATATTTTTTTGTTGCAAAACGCACCTAATTCCAATGTTCAAAGTATAAGAAGTCCATCTAAGAAATGTCATCTTTTGGTTCAAAACACAATGTGAACGCATGATTCATGTATGTTTTGGTATGTTTTGGTAACCAATCTATGGGGTTCTGATTTCCATCTCAATTCAATGTTTTTGCAACGGGCTCCGAAAGATGCCAAAAACGAGGCCACGACGAGGCCCGAACGAGGCCAGAAAATAGCTTTGGAAACCCCTCAGCTTTAGCAGCAGTTTACCACCAGCCCGGCAGCAAGCCTCTAGCAGGAGTCTAGAAGCAGTCTGGCAGCAGCTCAGCAGCAGTGTGCACGCTGCTCGTAGTGATATCCCGCAGCCATTTAGCAGCAGCCCAGCATCAGCCCGACAACAGCCTAGCTGCAGGCCAGCATCTACTGTAACTAGATGAATCGATGCAACTACTCTAGAAAGGCACCCCCCCCGGCAGGGCGACATGTAAACACGTGACTGGATTTGCTCAAAGGTCACATGAATGAGCCAGGCATGACAAAAAAACAAGTTCACCATTGTAAACACAAGCTAAATGAAGCAATTTTTACTTCTAAAGCATCGTTTTCTATCTTACGCAACTGCTCCACAGCAAGTAAACGCATGTTGGGGCGACTTTCCCGGGAAGTCCCCCCCAACTAAACGCAAGATTGTGGATCGGGCGGGGTGAGTTCACTATAATCGAGTATGTGATTATTTATTTATTTATTTATTTATTTATGTATGTATGTATGTATGTAGGTATGTAGGTATGTAGGTATGTAGGTATGTAGGTATGTAGGTATGTAGGTATGTAGGTATGTATGTATGTATGTATGTATGTGTATATATATATATATGTATATATATATATGTATGTATGTGTGTATGTGCGTATGTATGTATGCATGTATGTATGTATGTCTGTATGTCTGTATGCCTGTATGTATCTATCTATCTATCTACCTATCTACCTATCAATCTATCTATCAATCAATCTATCTATCCAGCTACCTGTAGACTTATTTATTTACCTATCTGATGCACCTATCTACCCATCCATCTACCTATCTATTCATCATTATTTACCTACCCATCCGATATCGGAAAAAAAAACACAAATTCCACATGGGTGGACAGATAGTATCCACAATCATGATATCAATCAGTTATCATAGGAGAGATAGTAAATAGTATCTTGATGCAACATGACAAATCTATACCCTAGAGGCCCTAGAGCCCTAGGGGTATGTGGAAAACCATTGTTTTTTCATGATTTTTCACAGGAAAATGATCTACAACTGGTGGGTTTTCCCTGTCCCTGGCTCTCCACACTTCGTGGACCGCGCGGACCATGCGGAGCTGCTGGTGCCGCCACGTACCCCACGTGACGCAGGGCGAGTACGTGACGCAGGGTGGGAGAATCCATGGCGGAGCCAGGGGAAATTTCAGGCAATCCATGTGTGCATATATACAAAAATTATCTATGTATATATATATACGTATATATGTGCAGTGTAAAAATATATTTATATATATAAAGAATTATATAGACGATAGTTATAGTTTTAAATGTGTAGATATATGTATATATATATGTGTGTGTGTTACATGAACGTATTAAATGATCTATATATATATATATATATTGACCGATCTGTCTGCCTATCTATCACTCGGCTATGGCTGATATGATAGGTCAAAATGGCTTATCCTTTCCCCCTATATTGAAATATATCACAAAGAAAATCTTGCTGGAATGTATTGCATCTATCCATTTTTGGGCCCGTTATTGGGGGTATTTCATGTTAAAACGAGAGGCCAACCCCATGAAAGGTGGCCTTTATATAGGACAGTTCGGACCTCAAAAGGCGAAATGAGGAAAAGGTTCGACATATTTCGACATGCATTCTTGAGGCATGCTGAGAACATTTTGAGACACTATTATTGGGGTAATCATTGAAATCCCCTTGCATCAAAGCTGAAGATGGCAACTGCACGGAACCCCTATAAGCATCTATAAGCCAACAATGCACTACTATTGCCAACAAAGCTTTGGGGTCAATACCACATTTTCAAGAACACCTGTTTGGCCGAGTTCCCAGTTTTGTCTGCTAGGGTGGGCCAACCAAAAGTCGCGAGTTTGGGCCGAATTTCGCCAATGCATTGTCTCTATCTGAAATCTTCGGGGTTTGTCATGGTCCGGAGCTCCCATCATGCATCACATCTGTGCACATGTAGATAAGTCATGTATACAGTGTGAAAAAGTGTGAACATATATCCCGATCCGTCTGTCTGTCTGTCTGTCTGCCTGTCTATCTCCGTCCATCTATCTAGTGCTTCTATTACATACCAGCAACTTGATTGGTTCGAAGCTTTCGCCATTTGAGAACGGCCCAATATTTCACAGTGTCTACAGTGTCTACCAAGAGGACTGGCACTTGGTTCTGGAACTGCCATTGGATGAACTGTGTACAATATGGGCCCTTGGCAACACAGCAGGTTGCAAGTTTTGGCTGATTGGTACCAAGACCAAGAGGTGTTCTCCACTGTCTACCTGTGGGGGTCAGAATGGGTACCCGGATTGAGATGGACATAATTTGCAGGCCCCAAGTCTTTCTATGTCACCCATAGCCGCTGATAATTACATGCGCATCTTCAACAGAATCTTGCAAGGACGTGAAAACGCATTGGATGCCTGCTTGCATTGTATGGGATGAGACTTGGCACACCTGCAACTATTATGGTCAAATGGACATATCGTACGTGTGCAAAATTACATATAATGTCGCAATATGTCACATACATCACAGAATTACCCTCTCATTATTTAACGTAGCTATGAAGAAGTACCATTTTTAATAGATTTAATAGGCAAATCATCATAAATCGTCTATACATGGGCCAGATTCCATAGCTATGTTAAATCTGTTAAACATTTAACTAGAAGGCACATACTCAAGCACGACATCGAAGAGCTGGTGGCAGCATGTTTTCATACTTTTTCGGCCGTCCCTTGAAGGGTGGCACTGCGGTTGCTGGCTGCTACATGGCTTCTGCCACCGGGCCAAGTCGAAACAAGGTCTTGCAGCTGTTTGGGCATAGCACAACTGTATGCAAACTAAGAACGTCGCCATAATTTGCCATATCATCTTGTTTTGGGTCTGCTGACACTTTCTTTGCACGTCCATCAGTCGTCACTTTTGTTCTTGCTAGCAGTGGCAACATGCATGTGGTTGGCTTAGTCGCAAGCATACGGGTATGACGGGTATGCCCTGCTATTAGCCATTGAGGATCATCCAATCATCCCAAGTAGGTCTGAAAGATCAAACTGAAGCCACCAACGCGACCTTCTTTCACGGCCAGTATCTCCAAAAGTTCAAGTTGAACGGCTTTGACAAGCCATGACAGGCCAAAAACATTTGCATTTGTGTGGCATCAATAGCCAGCAAATGCATGTTCATTCGCCAATTCATGAAACGAATCTCAAAAACTAATTGATATGTGCCAAGTTATCCTGAGTGGTGAGTGCACCATGAAAAGCCAACCTGACAATTGACAACAGAAATCAACAGAATCTGTAGTTGTTTTGTTGCCAAAGGCAGTAGGATATTTCACGATATGTCCCATTGAACCCGTATCAAAGTCGCACTCCAGCCTTGGCCATCAGATCCTTGGTAGCAAGTTTAGGGTTTTTTTCTGCCTCAAGCATTGCTGCATATCATCTATACACGCTCTCCCCATATGCACATTATCATCATTTATATTAATATGCTTATGGCTTATATCTGATACATATATCTATACATGTCCGAATCCAATCGCAAAACTGTCTCCCAAACTCTCGAAGCAGGGTAATCATGGGTAATCTATATTAGTCCATGTCAACGTGCCTCCTGATGTAGAAAGTCCGCTTCAAAAAAGCATCCCTCGCAGTGGCCAGGCCAAAAGGGCTTTGCAAATCCTCAAACTTGAGACCCGACTGGGTCTGCATGGACCAGAAACAAAAGGTAGTAATAATAACAATAACATACTATATATATTATTCAAAATTAGATCATCAATTGGATCATCCAAAAGCCTGCAAATTTGAAAACTTTCCATCATGAAATAACAGTGCCCCTCGGGAGTTCAACATATACCGAGTTTCAATCTTCTGATCTGTGGTGAACCTGATTTCTCCCAGCGGCATCGGACCTGTCACGCCCGCATGCTTTTGACATAATCTGCATCATTGGATCTGTGTATGTATACAAGGGTTATGAAGCTGTTGGATGATTGTAGTATATAATAGTTTTTACATCACGAAACGAAGACTGATTATGTATAACAATATCTGTGAGATGTTGTAATAATTGTTATTGTTTATTTCTGGACATGAGAATGCAAATGCAAAGCAAAACAAACCCTAGCCCTAGCCCGAAGTTTGGATGCAATCTTGAGTGTGCATCGCAATGACGTGGGAAAGGGAAGGCATCTTTCGATGGGAAACTGTCACAAATTGCAATTTCACGGCCTGTCCGTCTTGATACAGAAACAAACATCTAGAGGGATCTTTTGACTCTTAAGGTCTCTACTCTCGTTGCTGAGATTGGAGAGAACCTTCAATGCGAAGCCCGGCGTTGAGAAATGACTTTGAAAAGCTGATGCAAAAAGATGTGGAAGCTCAACACATGTTTTGCGGCACATGACAAGTCCTAATTTGGCTATGGCTCAGGGGACAAAATACCCCAAAGAAACATACTAAATGTTGACATATATTGACAAACAAGTGAACGGTTGCAGTACGCATATATTGTGAAACAATGCGAAACATAGACGCCTGAAATTAGACGGTTTGGAATTCCAATCTCATCAAACATTCCAGCAGGAAAAAACGTGATAAGTTGGCATACAGCTCCATCTAATTATAACCACATGGAGATATCCACACATCCTAGTTGACCCAATAAAAACATCTATGAAGCAACTAAACATTCATCAACCAGGTATCCAGTTGTTCGTCGTTAATACCCCGTTGCAATCCCGTTGCCATATTTGCTGGTGAAATCACCATTTGAAATTTAAAATCTACCTATGCTTTTTCTGGCCCCTTCCTGCCCAAATTCTTGGTACCAGTGACCTGTTCCTCTTCCCCCATTCTTTCTCGCCACGCGGGAGAAAACGTCTTCCTAGGTGGCCAGGTGATTTGTGATCATTGCGGTGGATAGTTCCAGGAATTCCCCCCCCCCCTCCCCGCCCGGGGAAAAAATGAGTTTACTAGGGATTCGTGCTGTTTCACTTTTCATCGCGTTGACTTGGATTCAACTTTGATGCGTTTTTACGTTCCATCTTTGTGGTACTCTTTGATGCCGAGACATCTACTTGGATTGTACAGCCCAAAAAAATAACAACTGGCCAGGTCCCCAGCAAGGGACGTCCCATATACCAGCAACATACGCTGGGAAGACCCGCTCATCCAATGGATTGTGTACACACGTAATGGTGTAAGAAAATAATTCCCACGACCCACGAGTTGAATTCGTACAATGGCGAAACCGAAAAAAAATGTGCCAATTATTTGAACAATGATTTTCAACATCCCCCCCCTTTAAGGGGGGGGGTGGGGGGGGGTAAAAACTGAAATATTTCACTTTAGGGGGGGGTCTCCCCCCCCCACACACCTTGAAATATTTCACCTCCTAAAGTGAAATATTTCAGCTAAAAAATTCTGGTCTATAATGGCTTTGGGCGTGGTTGAATTCAAGGCTGGACCAAGGGGCTCCTCCAGGGATGGCAATGGATTTTATTGGGGGGGACCCTCCTAGAACTGTAAAATACCATGATTTTGCACCTACCCCCCCTCAAAAATTTCACCGTGGCATTTCTTACCCCCAGGGTAGAAAACAACAAGGGGCTCCTCCAGGTCGGGTAATGTTTTTTTTTTGGGGGGGACCCTGCTAGAACTGTAAAAAACCATGGTTTTGCACCTATCCCCCCTCAAAAATTTCACCGTTGCATTTTTTCCAACCAGAGTAGAAAACAACAAGGGGCTCCTCCAGGGATGGCAATGGATTTTATTGGGGGGGACCCTGCTAGAACTGTAAAATACCATGGTTTTGCACCTACCCCCCCTCAAAAATTTCACCGTGGCATTTCTTACCACCAGGGTAGAAAACAACAAGGGGCTCCTCCAGGGATGGCAAATGTGGCATCCGGAGGAACCCCCCCCCCACGTCTTTTAGAAGCCCAAAAAAAAACGTGGGGGGGGGTATATTTCACGTGGTCAGGCGAAATATTTCTCAGAAATTTCTTGCCTTACCCCCCCCCAAATATTCCAGGGTTAAAGGGGGGGGGATTTTTCAACAAAGTATCGTATGTGTACCCACTTTGATGATGTATCACTGCATCACTCTCCACGCAGGTTTGCTTTCCTGCGCTGGTCGACTGGTCTGGCTTGGCACACGGCCTGCTACTTGCATAGCCGCTGCTGGCTGTTGAAACAAACAAGTTGGACCTTGATCATTTCTGAGCGGCCAATTTGTCTCGGGCCAGTTGCGTGGTCTCCATCATAATCTCGCGCAAGAGGGATGCACTGTTGATGGTTTTCTGGAAAAGCACCCTGCCTCGCATGGGCCCGGCCCGCGTTTCACACAAAACATCGAAGCCGTACTGATCAATTGACAGCATGACAGCTTTTTGGATACCACTAAGACCTGTAAACGCCCGAGACATCTCCAACACAGCATCCGCATGGTCAGCATTGCAATGCTCTACCGCCCGTTTCACTGCTTCGATATCTGCTACCACCGGGTCGGCTGCAACTGTTCTCCACTCAAGCAGAGCACAACGTGGCACCATTGAAGCCTCCACGTGTCCCAACAAGGCACACAAGCGGCGCTGTGCACTGACCATGGCGTCTGAGATGCAACCTGGTTCTGTCTATGATGTCCTATGTCATCGATGCCCTGTTCCAAAATTCCCTGCACCATTGAAAGTCTTCGACTTGTGCAGCGCTCTACAGTGTAGATGAATCAAGGTTTGAGCAGATTGAAGCACGGAGTCGCGCTAAACACTCTCGTGTCAAAGCTGTCAGCCGTGCCACCCGGTAAGGAAAGCACATCTGCAGTTTCAATAATTGCAATGCATCATATCAAATCACACAAACACATAACTTAACTGCAGCATCGTCATGCACGCTTATGAATACATTCTACGTAGCGATCTTCTGACGTGCTAAGAGATGTTCAAAGCACTCACGTCGATATAGGTTATCCCTTTGATCGCTCTGAGTATTGGAGCGACCCTCTTCACATCGGTTTGCCTGACAAATGGTTGCAGTATGTCGTGTAGTGACCTAAAATTGTGATTTTACAGAGGGAACATGCGTTTCCAAACCTCTGGATTTGGGTTGGTTCTCAATTGTTTAAAACATGTTCGCTGCAAACCCGACGTTTGCCCGCATCGGATCCCGATATCCTTTGACGTGCTCAAATGCCTGCCTAGGGCTAGCGTATTTCTTTTTACTTTCCAAAACCTAAAACCCAAAAACCCTAAAAGGCCTAAACGCCTAAAAACCTAAACCCTAATTAAATTAAAACCCTAAATCCAAAAACCGAAAGTCAAAGTCGCTGCGTATAGCCGTATAGCCAGTGTTTTCATTCATCCTCTGGTGACAAGTATATATGATATTGTTTGGGTGTGTTATTTGGATGTGGGCGAACGTGGGGTTTGGACGGAACATGTTTCATTAGATTGGTTTATGGGGCAATTCCATATTTAATGGTAAAAACATGTAAAAATAATGGTTTCCTGTATATAGGTTTTCCCTTAAACCAATCCACATGTTGCAAGTTCCTTTATCAGTCCGCCAAAGCTCCACTTCACACACATCGCGAAGGCTTCCTCCGCGGTGAGTTCTTCTCGGCTCAACTTGTAGCCCGTGTCGAAGACGTTATGGATCCAGACTGGGCGCTGGGTGACATAAACTTAAGCTGGACCAAGGTGGATAATATAGAAAATTACTATAGAACACTGTGATAATCCCATCCCCAATCCCCCGGCATAAAATAAACACACCCATTCTATGGTCCCAATTCCCAATTATGTGGGAATTCCATGAAATTCTCTATTAAACCATGGTTTCTGCAGGAGTGAGTGTTTAATATTAGGGGCCATGCGCAAGGAACTGATGTTGCGGAATATATACATTCCAGGGATTTACCATGTAGTTCTCATCCCCATGGCCCCGCTACCAAATACCTGTAGTAGGATCACGGCTCATAATTCGCCGTGGTAAAATATGCATTTTTCCCGAGAGCGTCTGAGCGCAGGGTTCTTCCAATAGTGGGGGTCTGTATCTCATCTTCTCATCTTCACACCTTCTCTCACACCTTCTCATCTTCACATCTGCTCATCCTCTCATCTTCACATCTTCTCATCTTCATCATCTTCACACCTTCTCATCTTCACATCTGCTCCTCTTCACATCTGCTCCTCTTCACACCTTCTCATCTTCACACCTTCTTCTTTACACCTTCTCATCTTCACACCTTCTCATCTGCTCATCTTCACATCTTCTCATCTTCGCATCTTCTCATCTTCACACCTTCTCATCTTCACATCTGCTCCTCTTCACATCTGCTCCTCTTCCCACCTTCTCTCACACCTTCTCATCTTCACACCTTCTCATCTTCACACCTTCTCTCACACCTTCTCATCTTCACATCTTCTCTCTCTCTCACTCTATCTCCCCTTTTCTCTCTCCTTTCTCTCTCTCCTTTCTCTCTCCCTTTTCTCTCTCTCGCCTTCTTTATCTTTCTCTCTTTAGGCCGAGGGTGGTGCCGGCGGGGAGTCACGAAACGAGAACCCTTTCGCACGAAATGAAGTTCGATCGGCAAAAACTGAGGAAAAATAGCGAGTTTACTTGTCCTGGAGCAACCCTTTCGCACGAAATGAAGTTCGATCGGCAAAAACTGCGGAAAAATAGCGAGTTTACTTGCCCCCGAGCAACCCTTTCGCACGAAATGAGGGTCGATCGTCAAAAACTGCGGTAAAATTGCGAGTTTACTTGCCCCCGAGCAGCCCTTTCGCACGAAATGAGGGTCGATCGTCAAAAACTGCGGTAAAATTGCGATTTTACTTGTGCCGGAGCAACCCTTTCGCACGAAATGAGGGTCGATCGTCAAAAACTGCGGTAAAATTGCGATTTTACTTGTCCCCGAGCAACCCTTTCGCATGAAATGA